GAACCGATTGAAATGTCTTAACGAAAATTTATATACAGCCTTGTTTTAAGGTAAAATTTATTAAACAATTGTTAAAAAATTAAAAAATTTATTATTTTGCAATAAAAATTGTTATAAACAAATTACAATAAAAAATAAGTTTTTTTTTAATTAAACCAACAGAGATGTAAAATATACTACGTTTATAATATTTTTTTTATTTATAACAAATGGATAAAATCTGAACCGACTGAGATATATTAGCGAAAATTCATATACAGCTTTGTTTAATTTTTAACTTTAATAAGCAATTGTTTAAAAATAAATATATTTATTATTATAAAAAAAAAAGTTTTACCATTACTAAGTACAATAGTCCCATGATTTTTACATAACCGCATCGCTTTACCATAGTCGCACGACTTTACAAGTCGACCGGCACGACTTTTTTCCAAGTCCTTTAGTCGCATCATTTAACAAGTCATCTGGCTTGATTTTTTTCCAAGTCCTTTAGTCGCATCAGTTTACAAGTCGACCGGCTCGAATTTCTTCCAAGTCCTTTAGTCGCATCATTTTACAATTTTTACAATAGTCATTTATCATCAAAACGAGTCTTTTCTCTATCCATAAAATATAAATATATCTTATGTAGAGAAAGTTCTTTCCGTTCTAATGTCTTATGACTAATCCCTCTTGATATACACAATATTGGATATTATTAGGGGTCTCGTCTATCCGACAAGACGAATCCCCAAGCCAAGGGCTGAGTCTCAACAGATCGCAGCGTGGTAACTGCTCTACCGTGTACAACACCCCGCCAGGTACCTAGGTCGTCTACAGACGATTTCGAGTCTCGACATCGAACTGTGAGACCCAAAATCGACCGTAAGAGACCGTGCCATTGCTCGGTGTGATCCCGGCAACGGTCGTTGGTCCCGTACGGCAAAATGGCTCGGGCGATGACCGGCCCAAAGACCGATCACCTAGTAGTTTCACATTGTTTTGAGCCTTTCGACTCACGAGACTCCTAGAGATATCGTTGTCTCCTTTGACTAGAAAGGATACGGCCTTAGAGGCGTTCAGGCATAATCATACGGATAGTAGCTTCGCACCACCGGCCGCTCGACCGAGTGCGTGAACCAAATGTCCGAATCTGCGGTTCCTCTCGTACTGAGCAGGATTACTATCGCAACGACTAGTCATCAGTAGGGCAAAACTAATCTGTCTCACGACGGTCTAAACCCAGCTCACGTTCCCTGTTGGCGGGTGAACAATCCGACGCTTAGCGAATTCTGCTTCGAAATGATAGG